TTCCTCACGCTGGGCGAGAAACGTCTCCGCCGTGGGGGGGGCTCATCTTGCCACCAGCCACGAGCCACCCTGAGCACATCTTCGCTACTACTCTCTTTATCCCGTAGGACAAGCCTGCTCCCCCGTCTAACGACCAAACTAGACAGCGTATCACGCCTGCCTCTCGTACAGCGGTCAATAAGGCCTTTCAACGCAGTTGGCGTCAAGTGGAAGGTAGGGAACTCGATGCTCGGCTCATGCTGGTAGGACTGCCAGACGGCAGCTTCCTGTGGCCCACTCTGGCCCTCAAAAATGCACCACAGGACCCGCCCGAGCATGTACACCGTCGCGGCCTCCTGTTCCGTCTCATCTAGGGAAAGCCAGGGGATGTTGTAGTTTAAATACCCATGTGGTCGAGGCGAAGAGTAATCTTCGCATGCCTGTAGGATATCCCAACCAGGGAGAAGTCGGTCGAGAATAGCAGTGAAGTGTTGGCGTGCTCCTTCTGGGGCGGTGAGGTTGGCCTCGGCCATTTCTTCGCCGGCCAGAACGCGCACGTAGTCGATCGCATTGACCTCCGGTGCGGAGAACTCACACCACACACCCCGTTGCTCGAAGTCGATCACGACAACATCGTGAGCGGCGGAAAGAAGTATATTGTCGAGCCGCAGGTCCGGATAGAACATACGGCCTCGCTCACAGATGTGCAAGACGGCCGACGTCAGTTGTATGGGCCCATTTCACCTGCTGTTCTAAGCTCAGGCGGTTGTGGATGCGCAGCAGCGGGAGTGTATCGCGGACACTACCAGGTTCGTGGAAGGGCAAAAGGAAACCGACCACCGCTGTCTTGCCGCCGAACAAGCAGCGCTTGGTGACGAGATAATCAGGCCTCGAAATGACGTTGGGGTGCGGTTCCATCTGTAGAAGATTTCGCAACTCCACGAATAGGTATTTGGTGCTGCTAGCTAGAGCCTTGAAAATCCACAGACTGTCGTTTTTGTTGTCGGGCCCATGGTTCGGCATACGGACGAGGCAGACACTCTCGTACAATACCCGGAGGATCTTCAAGCTCCCGACGTCGACGGCCTTCGGGAGGAGGCCAGGGGCAACGCCAAGACTCTCATCCAGTCTCGACACCCCTAGCAGCTGCCTCTCCACATAGTAAGTCGGCACAACAGAGATCTTCGTCTTGTGGATGTCGAAGTTCAGAGCCTCGAAGATGATGCGGGAGCCAAAGGGCATTGCTTCAGAGAGTGACGAATAAGTGCCATAACCGCCCTCTGATATCCAGGCCTGCAGCACGCGAACTATATAGGCAGAAATGCCAAGTCGACGGAGTCTCGGTGCGTCTTTCGTGTGGAAGGCGACGTTCAAATCCAGTAGCTCGCGGAGAATTGGAGAGGTGACCGCTTCTTCTGGGATGAAGACGTCGAAGCGGATCGGCGGCATGTCGGGGAGAAAGATCGGTACGGCATAATACTGCGTTCCCAGGCCTGTGCAGCCGTCAATCCTGAAGAGGGGAGCCAGAGGAAGCTCGAGGCTGTCTAGCCGGTTCTTTGGGTTAAGCTGGGAATCCTCCCAAAGGACACCCTTTGACGGCGTCGGAGCTTCGCGCCGGGCCGATGCCTGGCTTTGGTTGAAGACGGCCGTGGGATGGATGACATCGTGTATCGCTGCCGAGTTGAGCTCCATGGCGAAGAGTAGAAGGGCCGGTCAGACGGTGGTTTCGGGAGAGCAGCCGCGGACTGCACAAGGCAAAGCACAAGAGTATGGAATTGGATGTCCTCGAGAGGCCCGGGAAGGACGGGTGAAGCAGTCAGCCAACGGGCACGGCGTACCTTCCTACTTCTGTTGGCAAGGCACGAGGCCACTAGCCACAGGTACCTAACAAGTCTAAGTTTTGCAACTTGGGGGGGTAGGTACAGAGGGTTCGAAGACTTAAGGCACCCGGAAGTTCCAGCGGTGAGTGTTGCCCGAGTCACTCTTTCCGTTGGCCGGGCTTTTGGGGGATTTCACCGGCTGCAACTTCCCGATAGAACGGTCATGCCGAGTCGAGCGAGCCCTGACGAAAGCAGTCTCCATCGGGTCCGATACGGGCCAGCGCAGTTTCCCCCACGGCTCGCGGCGGCGAAAACAGAGCGCTTTTCGTGCTTTCCATTCGAGGTTCGGCCGACTTGGGCGGACTGCAGCCTCCAGACACAGGGATGTTGAGCGGTTTCCCTTCCGAGTGAGTCAAGCGCGATGCCCGAAGAACTTTTTTGCAAGCTTGAAGAGAACATTTCGAGCTACTCAACCGAGAAACATTTGATCATATCTGATTGGCTGTAATCTTTTCTCAAACCAGGAGTCCGTGATCGGTGACAGATGGGTGACAGATTGATAGCGACCCGGAGGTTATGAAAGGAGGAACCCGCGACAGTGCCAGGGGTTTGGCTGCTGCCCCGGATGTGCATCCGTTGGGCCAGACTCGGACCCTGGTTAGGATGGAAGCTGTTTCATGGGCTCGGGGTTTGCAGATGTGGCGACCGCAATGTCGGTGGCCGCCTCAGGAAAGCGCTAACGACGTACTGTGTAGGCCGTATACAGTTGGCAGGGGCGCTCCACCTTTGCTCGCGTAAGGTCCATCTTTAGGTATCAACATCTGGCTCGGGTTGGCAGCCAAGTCCGGGTCCAACTTGTGGGCTGCATCACATCTGCATGCGTAGTACTGGCGAGTGAAAAAAAAACAAGAAAAGAAACTTATGAACCATAAACTCGTTTCTCAGGATAAAGCAAACGACAGTTCTATGTGAAGATTCGACGGAGAGAAAGGTGACGGGGGGAAGGGGGAGGAGGAGGGGGGGGGTGTTCATTCCTGTCCTTTTTTTAGACGCTTGCAGGCAGATATGAGTCGAGTCTGGCATGGAGTGCCAGTGGGTAGCTTCTTCGAGATGCTTACCGTCGGGACGTCAGGGCTAAGTCAAACAAATGAATCCAGTTTGATGGTCCAACTGACGTTGGCGAAAGTCAGCACTCTGGCTGAGGTAGAATGTGAGTGTTTTCTGTACGCTAGGACCTCTAATTGCTGAATCTCATGCCACCCTACAGCTCGTCTTGCACATCGCCTTTTAGCTCAACTGGGTGGGGAAGAATGTTCAACAGACCCTCTCGTTGTCAGCTCGGCGGAGGTAGACGCATTACAGGACGTACCCAGACCTGGGAGGTGGGCCGGTCTGCCCTTCTGGCTCGAGTAGGGCTTGAGTCCTAGATGACTCGCCTGGGCTCATCTTTGTTTTAGAAATTGATGGGACGCGGGGCTCGTGGCTGATCCCGGAAGCATTTCTTGCTTATTAGGCACTTCTTTCACCTACCTGAGACTTTTCACAGCCCACGCTGAAACATAGCACTCGGCCTTGCCTCATGCCAAGGGGGTCCATGGACCTCGGATCTCCAGACATTTTGACTAATAGTTCGAGGATCAATCATATTCCCGGTAGGTTTGGGCGAAGGCTTACCCCATATCATATGAACTTTGTTGCGACCCCAAGCTCCATGTGGTGACATCCTGCTCTAGGATAGCAGGTACGATGAATAAATCCGGTGATAGTGGCTTGGACCATGTATGCCCACTGCTTGTCGTCACATGGTTTAGTCTGGAGCACACCCTCGACGGCCCACGGAGGGTTCCCAGGCGGTTATTTCGGTTCACCCCATGTTGGGAGGCAGCTGGAATGCGTTGCCCATAGTAAGGGCCGAGCGAAGCGCCCCGGAATACCTAACTGTAGCCGTATCTTCCGCCAAGGTTCTCTGGGTGGGCCGACATCGATTCAACAGTGTTGAGTGCCGGTGTTACACGGCGAGCGGCTTGTGAACCACAGGGTCGAAACCCAAGAACCGGGGCCGAAAATGTTTGCGCCGGAGGGTGGTGGCCGAACAACACCGCCCAAAGTAAACGACCAAGCATCCTTCGGGTTGCGAGATTTTCACCGCCATCCGCGGGGCATCTTGGGACAATTCCGTGGGCGGCCGACTGCCGTGTGATCCCCCCACCGAGGCTCAGTGACGGCACACTCTAACTTCCCTGCCAAGGTCAGGCAGGTACACGACGGAGTTGGTCCAAGTGCAGCCCCGCGAAGTGATTGAGGTGATGCCGGCGAAGCAGTCGCGTTGTCGGCTGCAGAACCCGGCCTCCCTTTGTCGTCTCCTGGGCCCGCATTATCTGCAAGGTTATATTGACCGGTGAGCAGGGGGTGGTCAGCAACCATTCCGGTGGGGTGGTAACGACGGAACAATGCTTTTGATGGCGCCCCTCATCGGTCGGTTGGGCCCGGATTCAGCGGGTCGGAAATGCCGAATGAACCTGGCACTCTCCCATCCTTCGCAGTCCATCAGTCTCATGTTTGCGCATCTTTTTTTTTTGTCTTTGCAGTCGGCAACTGACCCGAGGTATTGTGGGAATTGGGGTTCGCTTCCGGACCCAGGATGTGTGTACCTCTGTACATGTATGTACGTACATAGGCGCCGAGCCCTAGCAGGACCCTGAAAACGGCCTGAGTCCCTCTTTCGTCTCGGCGCCCCTGGATTGGGAAAAAATGGCTAGCTGGGCCGATTATTTTGTTTCCACTCATCCGATGTGGCTTGTCGGCCCGACAGCGATGGGTCGATTCCGAGGTCACGAGTTGGACTTGGAGCCTCGATCATTTGCCAAATCCCTCTTGTACAAGTATATTGATATACTGCGTACTCAAGTATCGGGTGGCTGCCGGGCTCTGCTCTGGGGCTCGGTTTGAGCCGTGATCGTCGCCCTTCGTCCTTTGAAGGCTTTCCGTGGACATTGTTTTGTGAATGGATGCATCGTCGGCAGTGCCGGCGACGTCTCAAAAGTGGATCTTGATAACGCAAGAATTCCAGGTTTGTGGGGGACGCGGGAGCCACTGCATCTCTGCTGCAAGTCAGTCCTGCACAGTCGTTGGATTCATCGAGTCTAGTGTAGTTGTTGAGTTCGGGGTCGACGACAGCCCAGTCAGCTAATTCTTGATCGGTGTGGGGACCGGTCCTTGGGGCGTCTCGGGTTGCACTTCGAACTCGCGCCAAATCATGTCCATACCTCCAAAGCGCAACGCTCGTGGCCGAGCGACCCAGTCAGCAATGGAAGCAGCCCGAGCCCCTGGCCTGAGAATGAGCTGCTCGTGCCAAGACCACCAAGCACAACAGGCCCATGCGCTAGAACCTTCCCCGCTGCTTCTCAAATCAGCCATTGGCTGCAAGAATGGAGTCCCACGCCGTCGGTTGGGCAAGGATATTACCCGCCGTCTTGAACAAGGAATGGTTGAAAAGACTCAAGGCGGGTATAGCTTTCTGTCATTATACCTCTGGAGGTCCGGGACATGTCATGTATGGATGGCTGTGCCGGCAGTCGGCCGTCGAATCCAGCCGGCCGCTGACAGACCTCCCAACCTATCGCGGATGAGGTCGGGAGATGAGGAACGAGTGTGTCGAGTGTGTCTTGTGCGACTCGAGAGAAGGCGTTCGTTCGCACGTTCCATCCCGTGGCCTGATGACCGACTTTTGCGACTGCCAAACCCGGCGCTGTCGCATTTCACTTTCCCGCAATTGCACTCACCCTGCTCGGACCTGCTCCGCTCACTGGTCGCGCCTCCGAATTTGTCAACCAGGAACCAGCAAGGATGAAGGGGCAAGACGTGGTCAGGCGCGTCCTTCCCGCGACTCGGTGAATCCTCTCTTCTTCACTTCATCCCTCACAGCTCTCACCGGATCCTTCCTTTGCCAGCAAAGGAGACAATAGCATTCTTCACGGGTTGTTCTGAACTCCACCTTGCAACAATCACGGTCCCCATTCGATGTGTGCCGTGAGACATCCGCGTGTATTACCCGCTTGACCTCGCAGAGGACCTCGCCATAATTGGGCAGCACTCGACGGCAAGACAGCACCGAGCGCCGTCCGAGTCGAAGTCGGATCTCCACTCCCGAGCGGCCATTCCATCAGGTAGTTTGGGACGAACCAACCTTGGAACTGCTCGCCAGTCTATCGCGCCTTCGCGGCAGCCGCGCCACGTCGGCAGTGTAGCGCAACTTGAGACAGTTAAGGAGCCTCAAGGCCGCCCGGTGTCCATCGCCACGTTGGTGCGGGCAGTGATCGTGCCGCCCGAGTCAGTCGTTCTTCCATACTCGCGACCGTCCGAGGGAAAACCGCATTTGCTCCGGTCAGGTCGGCGGCTTCGTCCGGCGCCGCACCTCCTCAGCCCCGGCCACACTAGCCGAAGCCAAAGAGAGGCTCGGCCCTGGGGGTGGTGGTAGTCACCAGACAAGCAGCAATTTGTGCTACTCGTCTTCCGGCTGTTTTCTTGGCTTGTGCCAACCCCCCTGCTTTCTTCTCTCAACCCCGATCTTGTTACAACCCTACCCCTCGTCGCGGCTCCTTCCCGCCGCCCCCCAGCTGCATCGGGTACCATTTTGAGGTGCGCCCGCATCACTCTCCACGCTTCCCATCCAGGCTATTTCGTCCCTCGTGGCGATGGCGCATCTCTGAGATGCTCGGCCCCGGGCGTCCACACACCACGCACCCCCCACCTCCTTCGGACGGTCGTGACTTATCCTTTAGTCGTCCCGAGGCGCGTACCAGGTGTTGGCTTCCTACCTTCGCTCCCCTGTCTCCCCCTTGCAGGCCGGGTACCTCTCCACCTCGCGCATCCTGGGCCATCGCTCTTCTTGGTCCTGCCTAACATAATACCTACCCTGGGCCTGGTCAACATCATGGTAAGAATTTTGTCTTTCATACTAGGCTAGGCGGCAGGGTGCATGGCGGCAATCACAGATCGTCCTCGTGGCTGCTTCATGTCCCCTTCCCACTCCTCCCGTCCACCCCTCTCTCGTGTCACTTACACGCACATCCCCCGTTCAGCTCTCTCCGGTTCTATCCCCCTGTCTTGCCCCGTCACTGCCAACCTTCACCGGTCCGCGCCCCATTCCCAGCTCTTCCTCTTCATTCGTCAAACGTGCGGTCAATTGACAATGATTGTCTAGAATCCCAATATCAGAAAGCGGCGGGCTTATGGCCACGAGGAGGCCCCTGCAGAGTCGGTGTTCTATGACCTGACCTACACGCCGGCTCTCCTTGACAACTTATCTTTGCCACCCGACCACCGATATATACTCGACCAGGGCCCTCCGCCTTGTGTGCTGCCCTCGTCCAGTCCTCTCTATCTGACACGTCCAGAATCTCGGCAATATGTGCTGGAGCAGGCTGCTCTGATCTTGAACCAGCCCGTGAACGCTCTACTGGACCTTAGCAACCAACAGTACCCCTTCACCGGCCACCCACAGCATCCCGATTTGGAGGGGCAGCATCACTTCCATAAGAAACCTCGATTGAGCCCGAGCGCCTCGATGCCTTCACTTCCTTACACCGATGGCCTGCAGCCGTGCATCACGGGCAAGAGAAGAGCCCACTTGGCCCGCCTTGTCTGGCCCGCCGGCTGGCCAGCCGGATGCAGGTACGGGTGCTGTTCACAAATCACATGGGCTTTTCCCTGTGAGGGATGTCGCAACTGGTTGGACGGGCACGCGTCTAGCCGACTGCTTCGCGAGCTTTTCCATGTGCCCACCATTCGAGTCTCAGCCAGGTAGGCTTCCCGTTCTCGTACCAGGACACAGTGCTTCGTAAAGGAAAGTTAACAACATTGCCAGCGCCGTACCAACCACTCTTAACGCCCCCATCATATGACTACGATGATCGCCGCCCACCGGCCGTGGATACCGCCGTGGTATCAGTGCAGCCGCAGTCTCAAGCCTCTCTGCTCCCCGCACCCGTCAGCTCAGACCCGGGTGCGCTCTATCCTTGTTGACCACCCTGCATTGATGGCTCAGTATCTATCAAACTACCCTCCGCTGCAACCCGAGCGGGGTTATGGGCCTCCGGCCCGGTATCGAATCGGGAGGAAATGATTTACCCGAGCGTTTCGCCCGTTGTCAAGTATGAAGGCAACGCCGACAGTCCTCATGATACTCTCGAGCCTGGGGATACAACCGCCCCCTTACGTGCCCACACAAACAGGCGTCTGTGCCGCCCCCATACTCTATCAGTGAATCATCGCCTTACGACGGGCACGGGATGGTTGTTAGCTTGCCGTCGCGCTTCCATCCGATTCAATGTTTCGACGTTGCCCCGGGCACAGAGAACGCAGGCGCCCAGGATCTAGACTTTTTCCCAGCGCACAGAACCACTCCCGTCAAACGCGGGCCGTTCAAAGACCAAGACTCTCGGGAAAAAACGGCTCTGACCAGGAAGATGGGCAGCTGCATCCGATGCCGAATGCAGCGGATTCGGGTAAGCGCGTATCCGCCTCCTTAATTTGAAGCCGACCTAACCCTTAATCACAGTGCAACCTCGATCCAGACAACGAGGGAGGCCCGTGTTTATCATGCAAGAAGATCGCCAGCAGTGCCAAGGTATATCGGCTGAACTGCTTGGCGTCTGAAGATCACGGAT